AATCAAGAAAGTGTCTTTGTACTAGTTTAATTATGATAAGATTGTCATTTTATATGTATTTAATTGCATATTTTATAGTATCGTACATGACCGTGGACTAGTATTTAACAAAAGTCTTTTTCTGTGCATCTAAACCTTTATTTCCACTCCCCCAAACACACGTTTACAATGAATTTAGTTAATGAGATAACTGCCGTGCTAAGATTTTCCTTGGGGTTTTATATCAAGTAAGAGTCTCCCTTGCTCCACATATTATACTGTATATATAAAAATATATTTATGGTAATAAACTCATTGTCTTTGAATCATGACTGTAATGGAGAGTTTCTCAACCTTGGTGCTATTGACATTCTGTCACAGATAATTCTTTGTTGTGGGAGGAGGAGAGATTACCGCTTGTCTTGCAGAATGCTTCCCAACGTTTCTTACTTCTACATACTCGATGCCTGTGGTTCCCACCACCAAACTGTAACAACCAAAAATTACTCCAGACATTGCCAAATATCCCCTGGAGAGCAAAATTAGCCCCAGTTAAGAATCACTACAATGGGGTCAGAAGTCAGAGGAAAAAAGTCACTGTTAAAAACCATGCACTCACAATGTCCTTTATTTTTTTTGTTTTATTTTATTTTATTTTTTTGAGACAGTCTCGCTCTGTTGCCCAGGCTAGAGTGCCGTGGCGTCAGCCTAGCTCACAGCAATCTCGAACTCCTGGGCTCAAGCAATCCTCCTGCTTCCACCTAGCTGGGACTACAGGCCCATGCCACCATGCCTGGCCAATTTTTTCTATTTTTAGTAGAGATGGGGTCTCGCTCTTGCTCAAGCTGGTCTTGAACTCCTGAGATCAAGGGATTCTCCTGCCTCAGCCTCCCAGAGTGCTAGGATCACAGGCTTGAGCCATCTCTCCCAGCCACTCACAATTTCCTTGCATGAGTTTGGAATGAGTACGGAAATATTTTTCTTTTTTTTTTTTTTCCTTTTAAAATGACAAATCCCTTGATGGAAATATTTTTCTTCTCTCCCTTTTTATAATGCTGATGCATTGAAAATGAAGAAATAAAATCTGTTATAACTACACTCATGTCTATACAACCCTAGCCAAATTAAGATCATTTGGAAACTGAACCTGGTTGGAGAAAGTTGAAAAAAGACCTTTGAAGACTGAGCTGCTATAGGCATATAGTTCATATATATATTAAACGTGAATATATAGTGAGTTATTTGTTAAATGCCTAAATCCTGAATCATTGCACCAAGTATACTCATTTAATATCTTCAGAATGCATAGATACTACTTCAAAAGGGGTTTTTGTATTTGGCTGAGGCAGAGGGCTCAGCTCGTCATTACTCATTAACACTGAAAGTGAAAAATAGAAAATTTCATAACATCACTAGGCACTAAAAGCTACACTGTCCAATATGACAGCCACTGGCCAAATGAGGCTATTTAGATTTAAATTAATTAAAATTAAGTAAATTAAAAATTCCTTGTCTCGTACTAATCACGTTTAGTCATTAATGTCATACTAATCACATATCAAGCACAAAATAGCCACGTGTGGCTGGTGGCCACCATCTTGAGCAGCACGTGGTCCACTAGTGGAAAGTGGGCTCTGTGTGAGCTACAACGGGCCCTCCAGGGACCCCCACGGGAGACTGAGTGATCACAAACGAGTTTTT